AATACATGGGGGCTTAAGGGCCAGAGGGGGGGAAGCAGAATGAATAGGTGAAGCATAGGGAATTTTTAGGCCAGTGGAACTATTGTTTCCTATTCTATATTACATTGGGATACATGTACACATATCAAACATACATGAGTTCAATAGACCTGTAGAACTGGAAGAATAAACTCTAATATAAACTGTGAGCTTTACTAAATAACAATGTGTTCGCATTAGCTAATCAAGTACAATGACTCTACTACACTAATGGATGATACTAATAATAGGGAAGAGTATATGGGGAAAATGGTGTATAGGGAATTCTTCATTCTCTCCTCAAGTTTTCTGTAAGCCAAACACTCTTTTTTTTTTTTTTTTTTTTTTTTTAAGATAAAGACTACTCACTAAAAGAAAAAGCAAGCATCTGTTTCTGTAGTCTACTGGAGGTAGCCACATTAAACTGAAGAGAAGATATAGGCTCAGAAGCAGAGGAGTCCTCCTTGTCATGGGCTGAACAAAGCCTTCCAGGCAGTTGTGAACTATCACTACATAAATCTACAAATAAACACCCGCTTTGTTTATCGATGTATAACAGGCATCACCAGAGCTTGACTCATCATTCTGGATTCTTGTTGTCTCCACAAAGAGCTATGACACAAGCATTGTGTCTTGTTCTACACATTCATAAACTGGTAGGGGATCTGGTCCTGTGACAGGACATTTGATAAACAAGCAAGACAATTTGGAGTTTATTTTCCTGGCGATTGCCAGTGTTGGCGCTTTTCCTTCTGGCAATTATTCCAAGTTCTTGGCATCTAGTTTATCTTTCCTCCCAAGCTAAAAGCAGGATAGACTTGACCTTGATTGACATAAAATTTGGAAGCTGCATATGCATCAAAAAGTAATCCAGTAAGTGGACAAAGTTGATGAATCTTTGGAGGAAGTTTTTCCATATCACCCAGTGAGAGCCCACAATTTGAATATTTGCTCAAAGGCAGACATGGAACTGTCTTGTTTATTATCTGGTTCTTGAAAGAGAAAGTTGTTCCAGATATAGCTTGCTTGTCTATTGTTGGTTTGTTCGAACATTTAGAAACACCAAGATTCTTCATTTGTTTGTTTATTGCTCAGTTAACATTGTAACTATGTAAAATTGTAACTATGTGACAGGTGTTGCGTACATGAAATTGCCAGTGGAGAGCTTCACCAATACTTGTTTTACTGCAGTCCGAGACTGTGGACAGTGGGAGAATCCTTTCTTTTCTTCTTCTCATTCCTGCCTGAAGCAGAATAGACTTGCCACTTTTGTGTCTTCTCTTTTGTTACTCTTTCCCTGGAGGTAAAACCTGTTAGAAGTCTACCATCTATGCTGCATTTACAACAAAAGGAATGGAACAGGGTCCCACCCAGTAGAAGCTCACTTGTGCAATTTCACATGTACAGGAATGCTTCTGTCTCACCTTATCTATGCATTTCTCTTTGGATTTGCATGGAATATTTATCTCTATAAAAGCTGGATTGGATATATAAGTTATCATTAATTTCAAAGACGTCCTTCTACAGTTTTTAGATGTACCCTGTGCATAATGTTAAGAATAAAATAAAGCATGGGTTAGTGAGATAGCTCAGTGGACTAAAGCGCCTGCTTAGGCAAGCTTAGGCAAACATAGGGACCAAAGTTCAATCCCTGGCATCACATGCCATGCCAGCCCTGCCTCCAGGGTGGGCTGAGCCTGCCAGAGTCCAGGTGTAGTGGTGCAAGCCTGTAATCCCAGCACTGGGGAGGCTGAAAGCAGGAGGACCACCACGAGTCTGAGCTGCATAGTGAGACCCTGCAACAACCAAATACATTAAAAAAAGAATAAAACAAAGCAAAAATCCATGAGTTCTGAATCCTGCAAGGGTGGCGTGGCATTCCTTGGGAAGTGTATGTCAAAGTGCTTATATTTTGAAGAATATGCCAGGAGGCTCTGAATACCCTTATATAACTACACTTTGGAAGGCATAATTTTGTAAGGGGCTGGTCACAGGTGGCGCATAGTCTCCTATCTTATGACTTCTTTCTGTTAGAAGCAAGTGAATTGTTTCTTGCATACTTATGAGTCATAGAACTAATGTTTCTTATAATTGAAAATGACTGTATGAGGTATGTCCATTTTAATGTTCTTAAGGAACTCCCAACTACAGATGACAGCTGGAGTGCTAAATTTGCACAGTAAGCTGAACATCTTTTTATTTAACAGGACTTTGCTTGGAATTCTTTAGTGACAGACAAAATTTTGTTAACTACAGATGTTGCTCTGTAAATTCTCTGAGATGGCACTTAAAAGTAATTAAAAGAAATGCTTAAAAAAGGGGCTGTTGAGATAGCTCAGTGGCTTAAAGTGCCCACTTAGGCAAGCTCAGGGACTGCAGTTCCATCCCTAGTACCACATGCTGCGCCAGCCCCGCCCCTAGGGTGGGCTGAGCAGGCCACAAAAACAAAACATAACAAAACAAACAAACAAAAAAAACTTTACAATTTTTGAATTCTAAAAACTAAAATAAAACTTTCCAACTTAATTAGGGAAGTCCATACATCTTAGTGACTACTGGAACTCTGAGGAAAAAGGAATCAATAATTACATTGTGCGATACAGCAACCATTGTTGAATTCTTACTGATTTGTTTGGTGAAGTTCTTTTCCATTTCTAATGTTTTTGGCTTTTTTTTAATATTTTGTATTCTTTTTAGATAAAAAATTACATCTAGTAGAAGTATCAGCCTTCTAATGCATTTACATATAAGTAACTTCAGGATGGGGTGGTTGGTTCCAGTGCCCACTACAACTGTAGTTAGAATAAAAGCATGTGTTGCTTGTGATAGCTCCCTAATGTCAAATGGTTAGTTGTGACATTGGCCTTGTTCACTATGTGTGTATACAGATGTGGTGTTAATTGGATTATCTGATACCAAAGGGATACACCCAGTGCAGATTTATCTGAAGAAGCTGGGATTTAGTGAATGAACAACTGTGGACCTCAAGTCCTTGCTTACAGTCAGCAGCTGATAATTGAACTCATTCCTGTCATTGACGATTCTTTCATATGTTCAAAAGAACACTTTAGAGTAATGCTCAGGGTATTTGAAGCAATCTCACTCATAACTTGACTGGTCCTGCAAGCAACAGGCAGAATTATAAAATTCTGTGTGCCTTACAGAAAATATTTTTCTACTTCTAGTATTATCCTGATTTTATTTGTTAGACTTAAATTAAATATAGTTGGAATTTACTTTGGTGGAAGTAGTGAAGTAGGGCTCTGGCTTTCATTTTTTCCTTTCAGATTGCTAGCCAATTACCTAAAATCATGAATTAAGGATGTAATTTAAAAATGTATGTATGCTCAAAGCTACTAAAGTGAATATTAGTGAAAACTTGGAAAAATTTTCAGTATGACTTTCTGTTTACATGGTTTATTCTAATTAAGATGAAGCCAAGGTTTAGTGAGGACTTATAAAAAATAAGTTCCAGAGTACAGTGGTACATGCTTGTAATTCCAGCACTCTGGGAGTCTGAGGCAGGAGGATTTGTAAGTTTGAGCTCAGCCTAGGCAACTTAGCAATTTAGTGAGATTGTCTAATTTTTTTTTAAAGGGACTGGGGTGGTAGCTTAATGCAAAGGCTGTGGGCTCAAGCCCTGGTATCCTCCCACCAATATTCATGAACTAGCAAGAGACTCTTTTCTACCTACAAAAATTTAAGTTGGGGCACAGAATTGAAGCTACGATCCTCGGTGTAGTTGCTTGGTTCAGAGATAGCAGCATAGGGAGATGGTCATAGTGGACATTTGGCCCATTGACTGCTATTTTCAAAAACTTGATGAAAATTCTTAGGACAGTTGCCTTATCCATCATTATTTTCCCACACAGTTTTTTTTTATTTTGAAAATAATAAAAAAAATTTAAAAACATTCAAAATGATACATAATTTCAAAACAAGATGATAGGGAATTGACCATTATATTGGGTATTGTTATCTTCAAAGTAGTTGTTCAGATGAGCAGATTTAGGCATGCAAAATTGATTAAAAAATTAAGCATTGACTGTTTTTTTCAATAAACTAATACAAATTATAGTAAAAAAAAAAAAAGCATTGAAGCTACTAAGAGAAATAAAGCGGCTTGTACCAGAAATGCAGAAGACAAATATTTTGAGAAGTACAGGAGAGTACTTAAGACACATTATCTGTAGGCTGCCCCGTCTCCGAGGGGCTGTCTACCTCAGGTCTCTGCGCTGTGAACAGAGTCATGATCATCTTTTTGTGTCGGCAGACACACACAGTTGTAAAGGACGCAGTACAGTTTTTGTTGGCATTTCTCTCTCTTCACTTTTTATTTTATTCAGCAAGAGTCACTTTTTAAATTTGAAAAGCATTACTAGAATTAAAGACTGGTTTGAAGGTTGAGAATTAAGAAGAAATGACAATAACCAAGAGAGTAAAGTATGTAGTGGAGGGGATAAAACAGAGAAAAACAATTGAGTGGACTGGAGGACAGCTATTTTATTATGATCTGGCTGTTCAGTGCCTGAATAATTTGCACTTTGTTTTTATGACAAACACACAAAGAACCAGTAAGAGAGTTGATTTTAGAAATTTATTATTATTATTTTTTAAAAGCAACTTCCAGGGTTTGTCATTGTACAGGTTCAGCCCAGTCTCCTATAGCATGGTACAGTGATAACTTATTTTTTTATAACTGATTCAGAGGCGCCAAAGATCCATAACTGAATTATATCAGAAAAAGAAAGAGTTAAGAGAAGAGTTTAATGTTAAGTGCATTTAAAAATCATATTCTAATTCTTTTAAATTGGTTATCCACGTATGATAATATAGCTGAGCTCAGATAACTAGAAAGGCGATTGACTAGAACACTCTATTCCCACCTGGCGTGCATTAACAGGCTTTTTACTGCATATATCTTTATATAGTTTGCAAACTAATTCAACCCATTTTACACAACATTAGCTTTTTTTTTTAAATTGAGTTGGCATTGGGCTGAGACTGTTGCTTATTTTCTCACGATTAAGATTTTTTTCTAGCTTCCTCATCAGATGTCATGCTTACAATTGTTTACATATGACAATTCAAGATTATCTTTGCTCATTTTAATGAAACTTATAGTGTGACTACCTATCATTAGATATCCAAGACTACTGATTAATTTATCCGCCAGCTCTGTTTATCTTGGTAGAAGGGAGAGCTTGCGTCTCTCTGAAGTGTGTACCAAGCTTCAGTAAGGAGATTATGAGCTGGTTGTCAACAGAGGGGACCACAGTTCCTAGCAAGGATCTTATTAATGCTGTGCAAACAAGGGTCTCGTCATTTTAGTGACTATTTGTACAATTATAAAGGCAATACAGTCATGGGAAAAACCAACAAGCACAGCTTGATAGAATAACTGCCATGAAATATCATTGGCTTTATAATAATTTACTACAACCGTTCTTTTTATTCACACTGGATAGGAAATGCTTCCATCTAACACATGGAATACGAATATATACAACAAAAATTTGGCTTTTATAAAAAAAAGAGAGAGACTTCATCAGGACAATAACACAAGGGTTGAAAAAAATAATTTTGTGCAGTTTCCTGATCACAATCATGTCTTCTGTCTTTTACAGGGAATGATACAGAACTGATGGAATTTTGTAAACCAGTTAAAGAATTTTCTTACCTGTAATAGCCTACTATGAAAATAAACTGTATTAATTTGTTCATACAGTAGATAGAAAGTTCTTTCTTAACTGTACTTCTGAATACCTATCAATGATGTGGCTGGTGGGTTGGTTTTAAGGACAAACCCTGCGAATCCGTTTCAAAATCAACATATATATGCAGTTTATTTTCTCAACATGTTCAGCCACAAATCTCCTGGAAACTGCACAGGGCATCTGGGCGATGTGCTGCTGAGATCCTGAATGTGCCTTCTCGCCCGATGCTGCCATCTCGTTGCACAGCAATATCAGCATCGTGGCTTCAGCTTTCTGGTTGCCATGCCAGCCAGGTGGCAGTGGCGTGAGAGGACTGTTTCGTACTGCCCGCAGTCAAAACAGCTGCCTTGGGCTCAATGTCTCTGTGGTGTGAACCCGAGGAACCCATTCTCCTAAGGAATGGTTCTGGGGCCCAGCAATGTCACTGCAGGTGGCTGGGACATTCTGACCCCTGCTTCATGCGGGACTATATTAAAGAAGTAGCCTAAGCATTCTAAAAATAGGCAATGCAATAGAGTTGGCTGAGCGGGAGGGAGGCTGCTTTCATAGACTGTGAAAGTCATCTCTGATTTTAGCTCCTTGAGAAGGCTAGGAGGTTCTTAGGCCTGGGTAGCCATGTGACAAGGGGAGGGCCTGAGGTGCCCTTGGAGAGTGTCAGTCTGGTGTTGGTCTTGCAGTCAGTGCCTGTGGTCCCCCACTAGGGCACTGTCCTAGGTTCAGTCTCTCCTGACTGTACCTTTTATGCTGGTGGATTTTTCCACTCCCCCCACAATTCCTATTTATTTTTGCTTTCTAGGGTTCATCTCTCTCAGTTGTGACTGATGATTGACTGTTTTTTTTTTTTTTTTTTTTTTTTTTGATTGACTTGTGACTGGAGATGATTGTTGAAAAATCACTGAGTGATTGGGAACTTGTGCTGAAGTTGATTAGCAATGTCTGCATGGGCACAGGAATTTGTGTTAATGGAATATGTGCTACGTACACTAATGTCTCTGTTCCAAGCAAGGTGAGAGAGTGAGGCTGGCTTGATGGATTCTTGTGGGCTCTCTGGAGATCAGAGTCCAAAACACTTAGTTTATAGCTAATACTATGATCTGCTTTGTTTCAGAGAAGATTTAAGAATTTGAAAGATTTATGATAGGAAGTTTTGGGCCTGTTGCAATCTGAGGGGGAGATAGTTTTGAGTGGGCTGGTATAGGAAGTCTTTGATAATGATGTCTGTTTATACTCCTGGGTGAAAAAGCTCAATGGTTTGGCAAGTTACTACTGGGATTTCCAGTTAAATAGACTCAGAAGGACTTGAGGAATAGGATAGGCCTCAAGCATGGTGGGGATTTCAGGAAGAACATTTTTAGGTCACACATCTGCTGTATTTCTCTTGATTAACAGCTGATAATACTTATAAATATGTTGAAAAACCTAGGAAAACATATAATTGCATCTATACATACATGCCTTTTAGAAGTCAAATCAAAAAACCTAGAGATAAGTTTCCTCATTAGGTCAGGACCACTGTCTCTCAGTTCTGCCTAGATGCTTCTGGTATAACCTTGACCAAGAAAGAAAGAAAAAAAGTCTGTGACATCATGCAGTAGGTGTTGATAGTGCTACTTGGGGAAGGTCAACTCAACTCATTTGCATCTCTGGAAAACAGGATCAGTTACTTTTTTATATTTCAAGTGATTGAAACCAAAGCCAAATCTTGATTATTTTTTTTTAAACATGAATCATTAACAGCGCTGCTCTTTAACGAAGCCACTTTCTGTTGATTTAGGGGACCGTGTCTGGCCAGTGCTACCTCCTCTAGCTGCTAATGGCTGGTGGGTTTGAGAAAATGTCTGACGCTCCATCAATACTTCCCTGTCCATGCACACTACCGATTTCACTTACTCGTCAACATGACAACATACCGTTCCCATCAGTAAACACGTGCTTCCTTCCTCACTTGGAAACTAAAAGAATTTGAAAGGAAAATGAGGCAGATACTTTGATACACCTGCCAATCCCAGAGAAATGTCCTTTGGAATACTTGTCTGAATTGAGCTTCTTGACACCCTGGGGTTTCCAAGCTTTTCCCAAGTTGTAGGCAGAGTTTTCTCCCTTCCTGAGGGGTACACAGTGGGGAGGAGTCCTCGGTTTCTGGGACAAGGGTCCAGGGTGACTTCATGCGGTGGAGTGGAGGAGGGAAGGCAGCATCTAGAAACTGAGCAGTGTCACTTCTTATCCAACTCTGTTTCACTCTCAGAGAAATGATTTTCTTACTGGGCCTCTGTGAGACACATCCTGTTGAGAGCATCGTGGCAATTTCATCATCTCTGGAACCGTCTAGAGGTGACAGCTGGCTGGTTATAAATGTGAGTTAGTTGCCTCATCATTGGTTTTCAGGCAATTAAAGAATTTCTGCTTCTTTCCGCTGATCACAATGTCAGTATATTGGTGTTGCCAACCAATATTTAAAGCATGTGAATGTCAGCGGGCTTAATCTCCACTCCTCCCCTCTAGCTGGAAAGACTTGTTCTAATAGCACAGAGGAGCGTCCTCCTCGAAGTTTCTGAGATGGCCCAGAGCACCATTTTGGGCTCTAGACAGAAGGCCTGGGAGGAGGTCGGGAGGGGGGTGGTGCCCTGTTGGGAGGTGGAGCCTGAGGAGGAGGAGGAAGGTTGGAAGGGGGGGATGGGAAAGGCGGGGTGGGGGCGCTAGGGGGTGGGGGAGGACAGTGGGGAGCAGGGGGTGGGGGCGTGTAGATAGGGGCAGGGGGTGGTGAGGTGGTGTGGTAGGCGTTGTTGAGCGGATACTTGGCCGGCTGGGTGTTCTTGACTCTGGTGAAGTTGATGCAGCGCCCCTAGGAGAGAAGGAGGATGTGTGAGTTGATAGCCTTACAACAGGGTAGGGGGAGTATGGTAGGCGGATCGGAACGGTAGACAGCAGACGCTCCACTCACGATACATAGCAGAACCAGACGACAGACTAGCTTTGTTTCCTTTGCTAGGGCTGTGTTGCAAAACCACTTAGCAAAGTTCATTTCCCACCCCACGCCCCGGAGTTTTTAATTCCTTTAGGGTGGATAAGACCTTAATGGGACCTGCAGGTCCCATTACCCTGAGCCTCAGTAGCTATGCCACCTACGTATGATGACCAAACAATCCCCATTTCATTGGTGAGTAAGTTGAGGCTGAGAAAAGTCCTTTTTACAAGGTCGCACAACCCTTAACGGATCCCAGGATGCCTATGGGGACAGCGAAACCGTCCCACCTCCCCACTCGTCCTTCAAACTGTGTGCTGAGTCTCTTGTCGTCATCCAGTTGGCCTTCCCTTGCTCACTCTGGCCTCCCCTGACCCTTAGATTCCATGAGTGCTGTGGTGACCGTCTGCACTGCAGTGCAGTGAGGTCTGTGCCCTGCAGTTGCTTTATCTGTAAATGCCTTGCCTCTCTGGCCAGATGAGAAACTTCTGGAAGGCAGTGCTCTTATTCTGTATTGTGCTGTTCCACAGCCTGAAGCCTCCTGGCCTGCTTAGCATGGTCAGGAGACTCTGGGTCAAAGTGGAATTGTTTGAAGCTGCTTGGGAAAGAGAAGGGACTTGGGCAACAAGAACAAGCAACTGGAAATTCCTCTACAAGACCACACTGCTCAGGAAGTACGTTGGCGAAGACCATGCCTGACTGGACTGTAAGTAGTTCAGGAAGGATGGGGCCTGGTGCAGATATGGGTACCCCAGTTCCCCTGAGTTTGCATTTCACGTGACTAGACCAGGACCTAACCTTGCTAGGTTTCAACTGGGGTCCTCTAGCAACAGCAATAAGTTACCATTGTCTGTCTGCCTCAATCACAGTTCCCAGAACAGGTGCTAGATTTCAGGGTTTATGCAAATTTTGCAACCCACTCCTTTTAAATACCCACTTATCCAAGCAGCTCTCTTTTATAGCTTTATAAATCTAAGCCTTGGTTACCGTTTATTTATGATGCTGCATAAATCTCTTTCCTTCAAGATGTGCAAGCCTGTTGGCCGCCATCTGTGATAAATTCCTGTAACAACAGCTCAGAGTTGGGATTTACTGTACTACCTATTTTACCCTTCATTCCTAGACATCTGACTTGAACCAAGAGGCTCAAGAGATTCGTTTTCTTTAAAGAAGGGAAATTCTGAGCCCGGGCAGAAACCTGCTGGGGCTGGGGTAAAGACCCTATCTGGCTTCAGAGCTCCTTTACAGCTGGGCACTTGGCTGGCTAAGAAAGGAGGCTTATTAGTTAGCAACCCATGAACTTGTTCCGTGCACCTGGGTCTTAGCTGTTTTTACCAGAGGCTGCTGTGTCTGCAGTCAGGATCAGGGGCTCCAGCCTTCTTCTCCCAGTACTTCCATTCATAACCTGTAGTCGATTCCCCAGACCTTTCCATAACCCATAGTATGATGCCCAGAAAAATCCTAAAGGATTCGCACAAAGGTCTGAAAGCATCCACAGAATAAAAGATGACCTCATATCTATCAGCTGAAGATGGGATGACAAGGCTGGGAGACTTGGGGCTCAGGGAGACTGGGGGCTCAGGGAAAGGCTGGGAACTCCTTTCCTACAGGAACACCCCAGGGCTGCACTCACAGAACTGCAGTTTATCACAGACCTCCATCCAGTTGAGAGGAGGGCTGCAGCCCAGAGCTTCTGAAAATAGCTAGAGAGGAGGTGAAGGGTGCACTCACAGCAGCTGTCTCCCTTCCTTCGTGGGACAGCTTGCAGCGTGACACAGTGGAGTCATCACACCACTTTCTATTTGAAGTGGCATTATGAAAATTCCTTTAATCACATTGGCGAAGGGTCTGGGACAGCATCTGGCTCATAATGTTTGGTAAACATGTCTGAGTCTAATGTTTCTGCAGACAAGGGAGCGGGTGATCAGACATAGTGATGACCTTGTCCACAGTAGACCACCAGTTGGAGGTAGCATCAGGTGTTCTGAGTGGAATGCGGACTACACTCCACACCTGGCCTCTAGAATAAAATTGGTAAATAGGATAAGAAAAGGCAGCAGGGCATGTGACTGAAGCATCCCCCAGAGCCTGCTTTCCTGTGCCTCGATTTCTTTCTTCTGTTGCTGTAGAACTCCTGTAACTTATTTCTTATAGGACTCCTCCCATAGCGCTTTGCACACACAGTTAGCGTGTGATACACTTACAGGTATTTATCTTCCAGGAAAAAAGGTGCAGGCTCGGCATAAATGCAGCCCTGAGGCAGTTTACAGTAAGACAGTCTTCATATGAGGGGTGTGGCTAAAATTAAGTTCTTAAACCCTGGAGCTGGAGGTGCCAACACAAACAGCATAACACTTAGACCATATAATTGGTCTAAAGATCAGTTTACACAGCATCAGTTTTTTTTTTTTTCTTGCAAGAGGATAATAGAAAGGCCAGATGTGCTCTCTGTCAAATGTGCCAGTAAATCTGCACCAGTGTTTGCTTAAAATGTTGCTAGGACGATTGGAGCTCTCACTGTATAACGCTGGTCTTTGTAACCCAGTTTAATTCTCGACACTATTGTGTTTGGGTAGTTTGGTTCAGATCCCAGATTGGCTTTGGCCTCATTTTACCTTGCCTTCCTTATTAACAACTATGAATGCCGATTATTTTCAAATAGTAGCCACAGCATACTCTAGCAAAATTCTATGATGAAGAGGCAACAATATCTGCTAATGGGAAGTTTATCAGCAATTTCCAGGCACATCATTTTCTTTCTTTATTATCACAGCATATGAGCTAAGTATCATTACCTTCATTGTACAGAAAGGAAACAAAGACCTCAGAAATATTTAAATAACTTGCTAAGATTTGCCAGCAATGAGAACTGAGATTAAATGAGAGTGGGATTAAAACCTAACTCTGCTTGCCCAAAAGACTCACCCCCTTTTTTTTACTGTATTTTTTCCTGAGTATCAACAAGAAATGCAAATAGTTTCTTGAAGGATTGTACAAGTACCATACAATGTAGCACTTGGTGATATCTAGCAGCTGTTGACATAGCTTTTGAGGCTTTTTCCCCCCAGAATGTAAATCAATCCATTTTACTCTCCAGCTCAAAATTCTTCACAGGCTCCTTGCTACCTTGAACATAAAATGCAAATACTGTACCTCCGATGCCACAGGCAGCCCTCGAGATGTGGTCCTCACTTACACTTTGCGCTTAATTTCTTACTTTTTTACTGTAGGATTTCCAGCCTGGCTCAGGGTAAGCCCTCCATGAACACTTGCTAAATGAAGGAATACTATGTAGCATCAGCGCTCTTCTTCCGATGTCTCTGAGCATCAGAGCTGCTCTGGAGTCAGTTAGTGGACAACTTGGAGGCGGCACCTCCTGAAGGAGAAAGGGCCCTAGTGCTGCTAGGAAGATCTCAGGGTTGAAGTTTAATTTAGCACTTGGCAAATGATGCTCATCTACCTGTGGGTCTCTCAAGTGCAGCAAAAATCCTTAGAAAGCTCAGATTCTCCCTGTAAATTTAGGCTGTTAGAAGTTCAGGGGTCCATTAACATGGCTGTGAGTTTTATGGATTCTCATGTTATCTTCTCTGACTCTTTGGATATTTCTAGGACCTTGAGAGAAGAATGGCAAGGATCTTTTGTGCTCCTTTCTTTTGGTTTCTGTATTTTATTCTATTTTTTGTATTTTAGGGCAGGGTCTACGAGATGTTCAGGGTCTCACTACGTAGATTGGATTTATAGTAATTCTCCTGTTTTCAGCCTCCCAAGCACTGAGATTACAGGTGTGCACCACCACACCTAGTCTCAATCACTGGCTCAGTTCTCCCTGGGGGCGGGGCCGGCATGGCAGACCTGGGGGATTGAACCCCTGGACCCTGCATCTGCCTAAGCAGGCGCTTTAATCCGCTGAGCTATCTGGCTGGCCCTCGGCTCAATCTTTGTATTGTGAATTTTCCAGTTCTTCATTAGATTTCAGAGATATTAATACATTCACTTCTGCTTTTGTATTGTCACGGTGAGGACGCAGCTTGCCTACGAGTTCTGAATTTGGGTTTGTGGGCTGCCAGGGGAGATGTGAGCAGGAGATATGGGCTGATTATGTGCAAAGGATTTGCCAGTGGTGAGCTCATGTGTGCTGAGTGTTAGGAAACATCTGTTTGGGTATCATGCACGCTCAGCGGAGAGGGAGCTGGCCTTCAGAGATGGTTACAAATATGCCACGGAGCCCACAGATTAAGCCAAATAGTTTCCTATAAACAGAGGTCATTTAAGGAAATTGGATTTCACAGGAAGAATACTAAAATAATCAGATGGAAAAAGTATAATATACATGCCAGGTTTGCTCTGACAAATACCTTCATTCTCTGGCCCAGTTCTTCCATTGATTGTCTCTTTTGGAAAGTTGTAGGTATTTCTCAAGTTACAAGTGGATTAGGTTTCTGGAGTTTGTTCAGAAATTAGTTGTTCAGAATGAGGAGCTTGGTTCCTAATTTAAGTCCCTCTTGCAAAGAGGGATGGTTCCCAGACAAGACTGCAAAAGCCTCATTTGAATATTGAAGGCAACTGATGCAATCTGCTGCATTTGGTGCCCTAGTAAGCAAATAGATCTATGACCAATGAAATTGTGCAGGTCTGGCCTGGATGACTTGATACGGCTTCTCCCCCATGTGTGACTTCATTCATTGTGCTTGAATCTTCTTTTTGGCAGGCAATGTTTTGTGCCAGCTATGCCCAAGAGGCTGCAGGCAGTCATAAGCAAGACTTGAGGGCTTTGCCCTCATGAAGAATATAGTCTAGAGGTGGAGACACATGGTAGTCAAATGATCTCACAAGCAGGTGGACACCAGCAACCGTATTTGTGACCTGTGATGCTGCTCTTG